AAAAAAAAAAAAACATCTATTTGCATCTCCATAATCATAAAGCGCATATGTGAAGTGGCCCATGGAATTTGTGAGCATCCACTTGGTTGGTTTTTATCTCACACGTGCAGATAATCTGCTATAGTTCATACCTATAACTCCTTTATGGGGTTTTCGCAAGAGCCGTTTGCTCTGAAGTTTGTCTACATAAGTATGCTTGTGTGTTTTATTTTTGCTTTTTTAGTAAAATATTCTAATCTTACTTACATTTTGACTTAATTACACAGGTCTCCTTTGTATTTTAAAATCAGAATTCCGTTAAAATATTCTAGAAAGATCTTTTTTAATTAAAATTTGTATTAGAAAAATTTTATTTACTATTTTACCCTTCATCATACTAAATCCCTAATTTTGACTAAAATTATTTTGAAGAATATTTAAAAGTTTTTCTTTTCCTTATTTTTATTTATTATTTATGAAAATATTTATTTGTTTAATGTTTTTTGGGAAAAAAACTTAAATAACTTAGTCAATGTAGACCTAACAAAAAATGTTTTAGCCATTTAAAAGAAACCTAAATAAATAGATTTGAATTGATGTGATGAAAAATCAAAATTACAAAATTTTATAAGATAATCAAAATTAATAAGTTTTATGAAATATTAGAACGTTTGAAAATAGATGTATTAAAATAATTTTTAGTTGTATAAAAATTACAGCACGAAACAGAGTCTCTCATGATTAAAAAAAAAACTAATTAAAGGGAGTTAGACATTTAAAATACAACTTATAATGATGACACATAACATTGAAACACTACCTTGGGAGAGGATTGAGCACCATACTAACCGCCAACTCTGTTCTGGCCATGAGAATATCTCCAAACCCTGCTAGTCTTCCAACATTAAGGAGGCATGGGAAGTAAATTTTAGGGCATTTTTTCATTTTAGGTGGACGCGGCAAGCGTGGTGGACGCCCAGACATTACTATTGCAGCGGTGGCTGCTGCAGCTTGTGTCCCCTGTTCATTTGTTTCGATGAATGCCTTCTGAAATATGTTGGAAACATATAACCTTCGACGACCAAAAGAACTTAACATCTCTGTCAACTCTCCTTTAGAGAATGGCGATCTCACCCCAAGTTGCCTCCGCACATGGGAAGCTTTCCACCTCAGAAGAATTATCAAATTTTGGGGTCATGTGGCCACGTACATGCATTAGGGTTTCAGCAACACGGAATCCAGACCCATGTTCAGTATCTACGACGGATAAATGAAACGCATCATGACTCGGCACTTATCTTGACTTTGCTTTTGATACGGTAGATTGAGCATGCTCATGCTATAACCACTATACCATATTCTTTCCTCTTGGAAGTGATGAAGGAAGCCGTCTCTTTATTTTCAATGTCCTCTTTGAAGGGTGAACTATGTCGGTCCTCATTCCATGCTCCTTTGAAGTAGAGTGCATTTGTAAAGACGAGCCGGGGTGACTTGTTGACAGACTCCTCGCCAATAAGGTCTTGAATCAGGCCATTTGTCTCATTTTTCACCCATGAATTAATATTTTGCCTCACATCAGGAGCCTGGACAAATTATAGCCATTTCATAAGCACTTCACGGGAACAATAAGTTGTTCTTGATTCCCTTAATTTCCTTACTTATCTTAGAGATATAAGAAGAAAAGAAACTTGTATCTACTCCAACAGATAGGTTAGCAAGTGGACACACATGAAATCCTTGTAAAAAATTACCTGGGTTTGAAAGTCCACTGGGTTCACAGCTGCTTTATAATCAGAGTCGAGAATCTATTTAAAAGAGGGCTTCAAAGTAAGCGGTTGATCATGCCATAAGGCATTGGCACAACGCATACGAGGGCCGACGGCGGGATCACCATAGGCACAGATGATATCGGAAATTTGGGAGGCTAAGAGATTGAGATGACCGACAGAATCGGTGTTGAAGAATTTGAGAAGCTGACGGCGGGTGGAACCGCCGGAGCCAGCGGCAAGGAGGCTGAGCACCACTTGGAAGGACAAGGGTGAAACCACTTTGTTTTCGGCAACTTTTCCGTCAAAAGTAGATTAGTTCCGAAGGACGTCGTTTTCTGTGATACGCTGGGACCTTCCCAAGTTTCCTGACCTCCTCTTGTTCTGCTACAATAAGAAGCCGTTTGGTTTGCCAAAACTGGGCGGAAGGATAAGTAAACTCCTCTCCAGCCATGGAGTGATGGAGAGCCGGTCCCTGAGACGAAGGAGATTGACCCGCATGATGGATAACAGTACTTCAAACCTAAACTCTTGTTCCTAGGTTTGAACCCTGAGACGAAGGAGATTTATTTTGTTGCATTACGTTACTTACGTAGGTCCTGGGAAGGCGCAAGACTGCAAAAGCAAAACTCCATTAAAAAAAAAAATTAATATAATCATACTCATAAAGAATCTTAGATATTTATATATCATAACCAAGAATCTTAAATATTTATAATCATATAGAATCTTAAATGTTTTAGGATAAATTTTTTATATTATCGACATACCAAAAGGAAATTCAATTTAATACCATTAAAGGGTCAAAAAATTGAATTTCCTTAAAAAAAAGAAGGATAATGAACGATGCTCCTTATTTAATCAGAAGAATCTTATGTGGATAATTGTAAGAAAATGGCATTGGTAACTGGTAAGATAAATTTTGATCTTCTTGAACAAGGCCGTTGCGATGCAGCATAAAAATGCAGCATTAGAAAACGATTTGATTTTAAAATTATTTATAAAAAATGATTGATGTGGAATTAAACTCATTGATGATTGGCATTTAATATTTGGGATAACTTTGGAATTTCACTCAATATCTTTGGATTATCATAAAAAAAGATTGCATATAAGAGCTGAAAACACTTGCCCCTTCCTACTTAATTACTGGTAATTATATTCTCATAATCTCCTAAAATGCAGATTTTCAATTTAATTTAATCATGATTGTTAAAATTTTGTAAGTGAACAGGTTTTATCATGCTGGTATAACACCGATAATACTATATAATAGTAAATGTTGGGCTTTGTTTTAGCCATGAGAATATTCAAAAGAGGAAACTGATTTTTGTGTCTTTTTTTCCAGCAAATTCCCAGAAAAGAAGTGATATACTACCCCGGTCTTTAATCTAAGAACAATAACTTACCATCTTTGGCAATGTCCGGGTCTTCAACATCATTAATCTCTGCATATGCATATAACACAAATTTAAGAGCACCCAGTAAATGACGAGTGAACGCGAAATCGGCCAAGAGCCACAAGCACTCTTTAAATCATAGCTGAAGCAGGTGTAGCTAGGAACTAAGTAAACCAAAGGCTTTGTTTGGTTAAAGGTGCCATCCATTTGGATGCTCCGAAGAACCGAAGCAAACCAAACATGAACAGATTTCAGTAACCTCTGATTCACATAATTGCCAATAGCAAATACACGATGCTTGCCAGCTCCCTCTAAAGTACAACCGACTTTGATCCAGTTTCGGTCCTTAATTAAGAGCTGGTAGACTAATTTAAAAAGATTAATAAAGTTATATCAACTTCTTCAATAACATAAAATCATGCATTCTATTTTTAAAATATCATCATTTAAGTATAAACTCAAATGTATGAAAAATAGGACACTCAGTCACGATTGAAAAATTTGATATAATGAATATTAATAACTTAATGTGAGCATAGCCTGACAATTCAAAAGGGTTTAGTAAATTACAATACAATATATATCTCCTCAAAAAATAGCCAAAACACTGAAGGTACTCACTTGCAGAACTCACAGGTGCAGAGATTCAACATTACAACGTTATTGGTAGTGGTATGCCTTATATTTTGACCAGAAGTTCTTAATAAAAACCTGACTCCCTCGCAAAGTTTGCTCTTAATGGTGCAATGGGTCTCCAAGTTCTAGGCTTGATTGCGGTGCAGACGATCATTGCGTCTCCTAGTCTTGTTTAGGCTTTTCCCCTTTTCAAGTGTATATAAAAAAAAAAAACGAACTCAATGTTATAACTCACAGTTTACCTTATTTTACAGTAAATTAGTGACGTTACATTCCTCTCCTACCTGACAAAATAAATAAACTATTAGCTTATATTTAGAATCATCAGAGCTAGTATTAACGATGTTGGTGCATTGCACACTAGAGACTTTACTAAGCTAAAAGATGTCTATGTATTTTTATTAGGTTATTGAATAGCACATTAAAGTGTTCTGCCTGATATGATGGTAGCCTGGCTTAGTTAATTAAATGATTAAATGACTCTACTAAAACGAATTGAATAAATTATAATTAATATATCACATAAATTTACAGTAAACTATGCTATTCAGTAACCTTAAACAATTACACTTTACCTTTCATCACTTTACTACACAAACATGTGTTAAATTTGTTATTGCTTTTGTCCACTTGGTGATATACATTATTCATAACTTGTAAATTACATCACCTGATGTGTGTGTATGTTAATATCTTTTTCAAAAAATTTATTTCACTACCTGAAATTATATTTCATCATCAGCAAATGCAACACATGAACACTCTGGAGCCAAAACGCTCTTGCATGATCAAAACTCAAAAGTAAAATAAATTTTTACACATAAATCATGCATACTGTCACTTCAATATTGATTAATTGTGTGATTTATTGATGAAATGTTAATGGTCAACACAATGGAAATATTGCTACATTTTAAAACTTTTGGGGTCACATCAAACCAAGAAAATTTATTTGATATATAGATGGAATCACTAAAAAGGGGAAGAACTTCGAAAATCTACTTGATATATATGATGGAGCCTGCAGAATGTCGAGTGTTGAACTCAAATCCAGCAGAACGTTGAAGAATTGCCGTTAGCATTATAAGACAATGGACGGTGAGGATTCATTTTTAACAGCTTAATGATGTGATGCGTTGTGAGCTTTTAGATCATTTGAATGGACAGGATTTAGGGATACTAATAACGATGCTGAGAACTGATAAGTGAGGCGGATTTGCTCCAAAAAGATGTGCCGAGTTCAGGTTGGCCGAAAGGCGAACACCTCCGTTAAAATTGTTTGATGTTTGATTTTGTAAGTAATTCTGATCACTTCGATGGCGGGCACGGGCTCTGGGACATTGCCATCACCGTCATTGGTGAGGTCGTGGAGGACTGCCTTCTTGACTCTCAGAGACGAAATCCTTACCCCTCCTGCTCGTACTTCGATCGCCCATATGCTACATAATCTCATTTTCTCCCATTCACACGCCTTGTTGTCTGCTGTCCCCGAACTTCCTTCTCATGAGGTATCTCGTTTGGAAAGCAAATTGCATGCCATGGACTCAATCATCTCTTCATTTAGTTCACGACTTGATCTAACTCCTGGTTCAAATTCTTCTGTTAGGTTTTGTCCGACATTTTGTTTATGCTGGAGTTGGTTGCAACTACTTCGGCCAGCGAAGAAGAACTGACTCAAGTCTTTACGCAAACATCACGCTTGGTACAAGTTAATTACAAATGCATACGCGAGGCAAATGTTATTAGTGTGTTCCGCATTGATTTGCCTCTCTTCTGTTCTTATTGTCACAGATCCATGATGCATCTCGTCGCGTGTATTTGGAAATAAACGCTCTCTCTTTGGCCCGTCTCTTTAATTGTTACGGGAAGATGCTGGATCATTTTATTGGAGAAGCTATTACTAGTGACGAGTTAAATAAAATTGGAAGTACTTCTTCAATAAGACATGCGATTGAATGTTTACAGGCTATCAGGTTCTTTTACCTACCTGACAAACCCGACTTCGTAGTATTCTCTTAATTAGAGTGGCAGTTGGCAGTTCGAAAATGTACCTATAGTCTTTCTATGGTCCGTGTGTCAAATTAATCATCACTCTTATTTCTGCTCGTCCGTCAACCTTAACATACTCTTACTGCAATCTTGCCTGGAAAGTAGGCCTGCTGATGACTTATTTATGTATTTGTTACGTGTTAGGACTTTTATAGTTTGGGAAAAGCGAAGGTTAGGTCACTATGGTGTATGTTGAAAGCATATTCTTTTTCTTTTGAGTTTTTTTAAATATATCGCAAATCTGAGATTACATATATGATTATTACCAAACAATACCTTGTAATCTTGGTTGTTTATTCTCTTTAATATATAAACCTTCAATTCTATATTGCATTTTTTGAAATTTGGAACAGTACTTGTAAGTGCATTTTGCAGTTATTGATCTTCTGTTTTGCTTTTTAAGTTCTAGAAAACTTCATGTCCCATATATGAATGGACCAATCTTCTGTTGGTGATAAAAGCAGTGGCCTCTATTATGGAAGGGGGTTCTATGTTGTTTGTTCTTCATTTCCACTGCATCCCTATTAATACCTTTTGATTTCCACTATACAAAATATGCCCCTCTGCAGATGTATCATCACACCATCTCAACGAAGATGGTCTCAGTCTGAAGACACGCTACTAATTAAGTTCCTACTTAACATTATTGTGAGAACTCATGATGGGTCATGTCGGATGCCTCATTCTACTTGCAAAGAAAGATCTTCTGCTGAGACATCTATGAGATTACCCAGAGATAGCAGTTCATGGGAATTACTAGGTGTAGCATTTTCTATGCTTGGTGAAGTAATTTCAAGGGACGGGTCATCCTTTCCACTTGATATCTGGAGATCCATAATTGAGGTGTGCAAGAATTCTTGTGTGTGTGTGCGTGTTTAGGTGTCTGTTTGGTCCTGCGTTACAAACAAGATGCAACAACTGGCCTTTTCCAAAACAGGTGCTTCGGAAAATGATGGATGGCATGGTGTCAAAAATTCCAATTGTAGAAGACATTGTTATGTCCAGGTAACCTGCCTAATAGATTATCCAAACATGAGGAAATTGAGAAACTCTAAGAGATTGCAATGCTTTGGTCATATTCTTTATTAGTGCCTGCTGATGCATATCTTTGCCAGGTATTATGAATCCCTTCTGCATTGTTTGCACTTAGTTCTTTCTGATCGTAAATGTCCTGCATCGGATCATGTAAGTTTCTCTGTCTTTGTTTATTAATAATTTGAATGAGTTCATGTTTAGCCATTTTGATGCTTCAGCAGTTTTTATTTTTTTTGATAATTTCATTTTTTTTAGGTTTCAGTTTTTGTATCTGTCCTACGAATCTTCCTTACTTATGGCCTTACTGGCAAAATACCACATACTTCACCCCTCATTGGTTGTGAGAAGAAGCATCCAAGAACAATGAGTCCAAAGGCAAGTTTGGGGCAAGGGAACAGCTCCAATCGTGGTGCATATAGACCTCCACACTTACGCAAGAAAGAGTGTTCAAATTTGAAGCATAATAGGGCTTGGCATCCTCATTCTCCAGATATTGTAGAAGATAACGAATGTTCTACTTCTTATGTTGCATCTTCAGATTCTGATTTCAGTGATGGTGATGGACCAGCTAAGGATAGTGAAAGTGTGCTGAACTCTAAGGTCAGAGTAGCTGCCATAATTTGCATACAGGTAAATTTCTTAAACCTTGCATTTACTTCCTTCCAAAAGTACCTTTATAAGAACTTAATACTGAAATGTCTATTATATTCTCCCAACATTCACATATATATGAGCATGTAGAAAGCCTCGAATAATCAAATGCTAGGATCGAGAATGGCTGATGCAATAGTCTTGAAGAACTCAAACTAACTTATGACCTGCTATTTAACTCCTCTCCCATTGTGTCATTGTATATTTTTCACAACGTAAGTTAATTCTTTAAAAATTCTTTTTTACTGGGAAAATAAAATTTCCACGTGAGATTAGATTTCTAATATGATAAAAACTTGGATGGGTGAATGAATTATGTGGAAGAGAAAACCAACTGAAGCCATGGTTGTTGATAACATGGTGCTCAACACACCTGCTAATCGACTTATGGAGCCCTAATGCATGATGTATTGTAATATTGAAGTGATGTATACATTGTATAATCAAGAATAAAGACAAAAACATACATAAAATTGAAAGCAGCAGCATGTAGTAAGTCCAAGATCCTACTTCTGCCCCTGGGAAGAATAGCTGTCAGTCTTTTTAAGAAAAGTAAGTTTTAAAATGTAATGAAACGAAAGAAATTAAGTTACCATCATTTTTTTTGGAAGAAGGTGAAAACATCATATTAACTGAAACTAATTTACACTAAATAGGGGAATGCCCCATATACAAAAAATTACACCATGTATAGAATCCAAACAAACGCAGTTTGCAAGAATCAAAAGACCCAACTTTAGAAGATGTTAATCAGCTTAATTCCTTTGGATACCGATTCCTACCTATGAAAAGGTAAAAGTTAATTCCATTTAACTTATCTACTATCCTATGAAAATTTGAGTACAAGCTGGGAGTTCGTGTCAGAAAATAAAGGCATTCTTAGCCTGCCGAATAGCATAAATCATGGTGCAAAAAAAAGCCGCTCAAAGTTTATGCACCAGCCTTTTTTCCCTTCAGTTTTCATAAAAACATGCGGCCAACAAATGATTTAGACAAGCTGATATCAAAATCAACATAAGCCATCAATATTTTTAAAATTTTTGTAGAAATAAGGCATTCAAAAAGTAACTAATCAAGTGTTTCAGAATGAGCACAATAGAAATTGCAAAGATCATCTTGTAAAAGCTCAAAGTGTTTTAGTTGGTCCGTAGTAGCTAATCTGCGATTAAAAACCAACCAAATAATTATTGAATGTTTTGGCAATGTTTATCATCCTAGGTAACCGGGAGAGTTTTTGAGGGTGGGGGCAACGATCCAATAGCACTCTTGAAGTCTGCATTTACTCAGTAAACAATTTGAAACTTTTTGGTAAATCATGTTACTCATGTTGTTATTTGTAAAAGAGATTGGCTACTTTCTCAACAAATCATGAAGATGGCACTGGTTGTCAAAAAATTTCATTTTTATGTGGTTATCTAGATGCTATGTTTGCTATTATTGATTATTGATGGGAAATTTCTTTTGTTGGTTAAATATTCAAATGGTGGGAAGGATCTTTGTCAAGCTGAATTTAAATCCTTATCTACGCAATGGTCCATACTTTTTCCTACCACTGATGTACTACAACCAAGGTATGGAATTCATCCTCCTCTACTAGTCCAAAGTTTTTTGTGCTAATCTCTTTATTTGACTGTTGATTTTGCTTTCTTTTCTTCTAATTATGCCTTTGATCTGCATATGTGTAGGAAGTCTGATGCAACTCTAATGACATGCTTGCTGTTTGATCCATATTTCAAGGTATTGAATTTTCTAAATATTTGTGTTTAATGACTTTTTTTTTTCCAAATAAATCATGTCCTTTTCTATGCATGCATATTTCTGATATGAATTTTAGTATGTGGATTTGAATTAAGTTTTTGCTGGTTTTGGGTGTGTTTAATGATCTTATTCAAGTCTGATGTAGTGGTTCTCAGCTAAAAGGTGGTACTTTATGATGTCTAGGCACGGATGGCATCTGCATCGACTCTTGCAGCCATGTTGGATGGTCTTTCGTCCATTTTCCTTCAAGTAGCAGAATATAAGGAATCCAGTAAATTTGGATCTTACACAGCACTTTCGAGCTCCCTTGGACAGATTTTACTGCAACTCCACAGAGGTATCTATTGACAATATCTTGTTAAATCAATTAGTTCCCCAGAAACTTCCTCTTATGATGGTTTTGTCAATTCTTTCAATTATTCTTGACATGTTTTGACTCATTTCTTGTGCAATTTTCCAATCAATTTTTTGTTTTTATGTAGGTATTCTATATTTGTTACAGCACGAAGCAAATGGTAGGTTGCTTGTGTTGCTGTTTAAGATTCTCAGGCTGGTGGTATCATCTACACCGTACGTATTTTTTTTTTAATAGTACTATTACTCGAGTGCTTTTAATTGTTACAGCAATGTTTTCTTCCTTTTTTTTTTTTTTTTGGGTTATTTATCTCATAAGTTCATGTCAAGGCATTAAGGATTTGCAGAAGTGAAGGCTAGTGCTTGAACTTAAAAGTTCATGTTTCTTTCTTTGGCTCCCCCACTGTTTTCTTTTTCTTTTTCTTTCTTTCTTCCTTCCAGTTTTTTGGGGATATGACAGTGGGGTTAGATTGTTTCGCTTGTTAGTGTTCTGTAGATTTTGCTTAGCTGGCTTTGCTCACTGCTGATGCAGTTTTTTAGTGTTTAATTTTTTTTCCCTGTGAAAATTAGTATGTGTACTTAGGTGTTTGGTTTGATCAGATATTCGAGAATGCCACCAGATTTGTTGCCTACTGTTGTTACATCTCTAATGAGAAGGATTGAAGAGGGTTTTCGGTTCAAAAGTGACCAGACTGGTCTGCTGGTTAGTCTTACTTTTATGCACATTTCTATTATTTGTTATTCCCTATGGTGCAGCATTGTGTGTGAATCTGTTATATTGATCTGCTCTCACAGGGCTCTGCTCTTGGTTGCTTGTCATTGGCTCTGTCTACCTCACCTTCTTCAGTTAATGTCAGGAAGATGCTTCTTGAGGAGGTTTCTTCAGGTAATCCTTTGGAAAGAAAATGAGTTTAAGAAGACGATTAGTTTCATATAAGAAAGAATTGAAGAGATGGGGTAAAGCCCTTAGGAAGGATTTCATCTAGAGGTCAAGCAAAATGGTCATGGGTTTCCTGTGTGAAAATGAGCTGTCCCAAGCTGACTCTTCTAGACTTCAAAGTGCCAAGTCTGTAAAATTAGGAGGATTTTATTTGGGTCACACAGTAGCATTCAGAAATTGAACTTGAATGAAATTCGAGGGGGTCCCTGGGGAAGGTTTGGAAATTATAAATTTGTTGGAAAAATTATGGCCCTCCACTTGTCAAATATCTCTGTCATATTCACCAGAAATTCTTGATGTGAATTGGAATTGCATATCGTCGTTGAAGCTGGCTTAGGCAGAAGCAATAAGTACCATCCAGAAAGCAATAAACCCCTTAATTCCTTGAAGCTGGCTTAGGCAGAAATTCTTTATATGAATTGAAATTTAATTGCCCTGTGCATTACTTTGCAATTGTTGCCTTTTTCCTCCAGGTTTTATTGAGGCTCAAAACAAGTCAGGTGTTCTTTTTATGTTATTTGAATATTCTGTGCAATGGAGCTCTCCAACCATCTGCCTTGAGGCACTCCAGGTAAACTGATATAGCTGCTATAACCACTGGTTTTAAGAAAACTTATAGGAGGAAATTTGGTAAACAACCGAGGGTAGGGGAAGGGGAACCGCTGGTCCAAGGGATTATTCTAGAGTTCCAGAAAATGGGGAACAACTCTACTGTGCAACTAACTACTAATCTCTTGGGTCTACGTGCTGCAGTAGGGGGTAGGACTACTTTTGGGAAATATAACGCTTGTAATGGGAAGGGTAAGGTCCTTAGGATTAATTTTGGGATAGAACTGCAAGGAGTGGCCTGGCCTCTCGAAAGCCATGGGGAGCTGCTGGGTTAGTGTATTACCATTGTATTTCCAGTGATCTTTTGTTGTTAGTGCTACTGTGATATTGTTGGGTATTAAGGGGAAATAGGGCTTTGGCTTGAATCAGGGAAGCTCACTGTATCTTTGGTTCAATTCTGGATTATCAATATCAAAGCCTAAGGATTTTTCTCATTTATTGCTGTTCAGTGTCTTTATTGCTGGTTTGTTTTTCTGGTTTATTGAGCATTTAAGCAGGGACACAACATAAACTCAGTGAAGAACTTTATTATTTCTACTTAATTTGCTGAATGATCACAATTCGAGATAGTGCAAGTGGTTTTCATTAATTTTCTCGTGAAATTATGTTCAAAAATTTATTATTGTTATGCATTGGTCAAGTTACTAGTATTGTCTTTTGCAGGCACTTAGAGCTGCCTGCCACAATTACCCCAGCATAGTTTTTGAATGCTGGAAAGACATTTCTTCTACTGTGTATGTCATCCATAGTGGAAAGCTCCCTGAGGTACCTTCAAGGAGCTCAAGTGACCATGTTGGTTGCTCGACTGTATTTAGTGGAGAAAAAGTGATTACAGCTGCCATTAAGGTAGCAATCTTCTGATCTCCCTTCTTTTACCTTTATTTTTATTTTATTCATGCTGAATCTAATCTTTTTTCACATTGTGGAATGAGCCTTTTAGTTCTGATTTTATGTCAATATGGTGTATAATCCATTTTAGTTCTGAAAAAGCCTACTTGGTTGACAAGGACATTACTATTATTATTATTTTTGGCATTCATCTCTTCTGTGTTTGCCCATTTTCCTCTATTTATAACAACAACGCCTTGTCTCACTAAGTGGGGTTGGCTATATGGATTGGGTGATGCCATTGTGCTCTATCTGTTCTCTATTTATAAAAGGAAAAATTAGTGAGTTTCACACCCATACATAATCCTAAAAATCAGAAAATAATGGGAAGATTAAGAGGGAATCTTGCTAAAAATCCACTTAGAGGACCTGACAAATAAATATGTTTTTCTTTCTAGTGGGAGATCTGATAGATCTTATGTAAAAATTCTCAGGTTTTAGATGAGTGTCTTCGTGCAGTATCTGGTTTTCAAGGAACAGAAGAATTTTCAGATGAGAAGTTGGAGGATATTCCATTTGCATCTGATTGCATCAGGATGAAGAAAGTCTCATCAGCTCCATCTTATGAGCCAGATAACCGAGATGTAGTCATTTCTAAAGCATGTGAATCTGGTATTCAGCAATGGAATGAGGTGATTGAGAAGTGTATGCCTCTTACGTTAGGGCATTCTTCTGCAATGGTGAGAATTATATTTTTCCTTTTCAGGAATAATAAATTTTCCATTATGTTTCATTCACATGATACTTTGTTTCAAAATTTTTGTTCGATAAAGGAGAATAAGCACTCTTCAGATTTTCATTTTATGAGACATACAGTTGCTAATATATTTGAAACTTTTTCATTTTCCTATTGTGTTTAGATTTTGAAGGGGACTTCTATAAGTTCATGTTTAATGAGATGGGACGGTTTTGTGGATGTTATTTTTTTTCCTTCGTTGTTGAAATCATTTTGGAAGTATGTTTCATCCTCCATAATCCATTTGTGGTCTGACTTGTGTTTTCCTCTACCCTTTTTATGGAAGGTGAGAGCGGCATCAGTTACTTGCTTTGCGGGTATGACTTCTGGAGTATTCATTTCTTTCACTAAGGATAAACAGGATTTCATTATGTCATCTTTAGTAAGTCTTGATGGAAAATGCCCACTTGCTACTTCAATTTCCTGGATTGAGTGAATAAAACTTCGTCAGCTGGTTTTTTTTTTTTTTTCAATGCCTGATTATGGCAAACATTTTGTAGATTAGTGCTGCTTTACATGACAATACGCCATCAGTTAGGTCTGCTGCTTGTCGAGCCATTGGCATCATTTCATGTTTTCCCCAAGTTTGTCAGAGGTGATACTAAACTTTGAGGCATAAATATCAGATGACCATCTTATTTGTTTTATCTAAAACTCATCAGAACATGTGTGAAAAGTTTAATAATGTTTTGCAGTGCAGAGATACTTAACAATTTTATTAATGCTGTTGAGACAAACACCCGTGATCCCTTAGTCTCTGTAAGGCTTACTTGACTCTTGAAAATTTTACATAAGTACACATATTTGCTACTTGAACAGCCAATCAGGCAATTTATAACTTTAGGTGAGGATAACAGCTTCATGGGCTTTGGCAAATATCTGTGATTCTATCCGTCACTGTGTCGGCTATCTTCCTTTTGGATTTACAGGTGGGCTTGAATGTTGCTGGTTTAATATTGTCAAAAACTGTGTATTTGAATGGCTAGCAATTTTTATGTTTGATGATGCTTTCCTTCTTTCTGTTGGCCTTTTAAATGATGCCACAGGTACTCATGCTAACCCCCAGTTTATCATATCATTGAGTGAGTGTGCTTTGCATTTGACAAAGGACGGAGATAAGGTAAATAATTATGTTTGTTAGATCTATGTTCCATGTTTACTTATTATTCTAATATTTCTCACTGAAGAACTGTACTGTTTTTTCTATTATTCACGCTGGTCCTTTAAGACTATGGTTGTTGTTTTCTCCTGATTAAGTAGATGCTAATTCAGACTTTGGAAGTTAACCTACCACAATAATGCAGAAATACATGATTTTTTTTCCCATCACAAACAACTAAATATTGGGTTGTTTTATTCCATTCTCTGGTTTTCCTTGTTTCCTTTCTATGAAAATATTGCTTTTAGAATTCTGTGGATTAATATCTTATTTATCGATTCCATGTTTTTCCTTTTCCTAGGTAAAATCTAATGCTGTGAGGGCTCTTGGATATATTTCAAGAATTTTTAAATGCACAACTTCATCAAAATTCCAAGAGATGTCAGTGGACCATATGGACCATGCTACTAAGGCCTTTAGCTCTGTTGAGGAACCAAAGGTTTTTCAAGGGTATAATTCATACTCTTGTCAGTTGTATTCTTCAGAAGATTCTCATAGGCTGGAGAAAATGGTTCAGGCAATTATTTCTTGCATTACAACGGGGAATGTTAAGGTATCATATTTGCAATGTTTTAATATGTCTGCTCCGAAAGTCTTATTTTTCTTTGTTAACTCCACTCCATCTTTGTTGAAGCTTGAGTATTTTTTTAACAGGTCCAGTGGAATGCTTGTCATGCATTAGGCAACCTATTTCTGAATGAAACATTAAGATTGCAAGATATGGATTGGTATAGCAAATGGGCTGTTATGCCTTCTATCAATAATTGTTTGGCTGTTAGCGCTAAGCATTTTGGAACTATTTGATTACTTTTACAAGTTTTATTATCACACGGGGAGTCTTCCTTGGTTTATGCATTTACGAGAGACATCACACACACTTTCAAATGAAATTAGGCAGATGCATATTTCAGTTTCTTCTTCTTTTTTTTTAAATTAAAAATATATATAGAAATGAGATTGATGTGCACATACTAGCACAACAAGCCTTATCCTGCTCAGATGCATGGATTGCCTGATGCCATTAGACTTTATCACACCCAACATTTATTATCATATGACATCACTGATCTTATAGAAGTTTGTTAAAGCATCCATTCAAACTTGGTACTCTGCGCTCACTTATTACTCTTCATACCTTTCTCCATTTCAACTATCAAACTTGTATCTTTTGTCAATTTCATCATCTTGTACTATCAATCCCAAATACATGAACTCTTGACACTTATGGATTGGTTTGTTCTCTAATTTTTAACTCTTAATCTTTTGTAACTTGCCTTTTGTTAAATTTGCAATGCATGGATTTCATCTTTCTCGTACTGAGGCAGAAATCCTTTGATTCTAAAATTTGTGTTCATAACTCAAGTTCAAAGTTAACTTCTTTTGGACTCCTCAATTGAAACTATATTATCAGCAAAGAGCATACATGTGTTAAAGTAGTAGTCCTTAAAGAGTATGCTGGGACCACTGAACTTATAAAAGCTTATTGAAGGATAAGACAACATTTGATTAATTTAATTTTCACAAATTTGGTGTCTAAATGGGACAAAAGGACATTGTGTCCTGTAAGTTTGGGATACAATGCAAACTCGGTCATGTCCTTGAGGTGGTTTCGCTTTTCCAAAGTAGGTAGAAGTGTTCACAATTTTCTTTCAGTCTTAATGCTGCTTGGTCATGTCAAGATTTTTCTCTCTTTTAATTGGTCATGTATTTTTCCAACTGTCAATATTTACTATGAGCTCACCTCCTTTTGATGCCTCAATCTTATCTGCTATATCTTTGATATTGACTTGTATAATTGTTGATCTAGTTTATTCTTGCCTGTTTGCAGGGCTCCATTTGTTTTTGGTATTCTTCTGCAATTATTACGTGATTCCTCAAATTTTAAGATCAGGATACAAGCCGCTGCTGCTTTAGCTGTGCCAGTGACAGTGCTTGGTACAAGATATCATCTTGTAATCTGTTTTTGTTTAGTGTTAATTTTCCATGAAGCTTGTCTGTTGCTGTGTGCTTTTTTTTTTTTTTTTTGGTGTTAAGTTCAAGGTCCTATCTATGGCTATGGTGTTTTCCTCTTAAAACTAATTCTTTATGTGATCAAGTTATCTGGAGCAAGTATTATTTGGATTAGAATGGTTGAGATGCCATCGACCCCTAGAAATTCATTTTTCAGGGTTATGGGTATTTTCTGGTCAACACCATTGTTTTTATTGTGTTCTGTCTTCATAAATTTCAACTTTTACTTTTTACAAGGTAGATAACAACTACAGAATGTTAGATAAAGGACACAATAAGGTTAGAGGAAAAGAGAAGGGAAATATGAAGACCATTATGCATGCTAATATTTCTCTACCCTTTTGGGGATAAGCACATTCATTTAATCTTTAACTCACAGTATCTGTGATGACTTGAGGGGAAAAAAAATTGAACTTCATCTTGTACTCTTAATAGATGACAGCCTAGGTATTAATATACACCTATCTACATAACTAATCATAGGATTGTGCCCAGCTGATCTATTCTGATAAATACACCATAATCACCGGAGTAGATCCTCCCTCAATTACAATTACATTGTTCCCTAATTATTTGCTGATTAGACACTGTCCACATTTCCTGCCAGACAGAATTTTAGTATTTGATGACAGAATATCCCATTTGTTCCACTTGAAAGAATCACATTATTTTGAAAATGTGACGTGTGTTTTATTTTTTAAAAAAAAACTTTAGAAGACATGAGGAAGTTGGAATGGTATCTGTTGATTGGAAAGTGGTAAAAAATTGTTTGAGGTGATTCGAACATATACAAAAAAGGCCATTAGATTTGCTGGTGAGTAGGGTAGATCAAGTAGTTTGGAGTCTCTAAAAGGGGTAGAAGAAGACTAGAGAAAACACTCAATGGAGTTATTGAACAGGACCTTTTGGTTAAAAATTTATCCAACAATATGATTGATGATAGAACACAATGGTGTCGCGTACCTAGTGGGATAAAATCCTCTGTTGTTGTTGTTTTTGTTTTAAGATGTGTTTTAATTTTTGTTTGATGTATTTTGATGAATTTCTACACATTTCCCATGGCATCCTTACTATATCTCTCTAGAATATCATTGACCAACCTTATACATGTATTGTAACAATGCTCTATAGTCTTTTATCATCATTTTTCCAGTTTTATTGCCTTTCACTGATTACTTGCAATTTGCTCTGACTTTTCTCCACCTCAATAGCATAATCTGATTATTATCCACTCACTAATGTTTTAACAGATTATGGGATATCCCTCTCAGACGTTGTGCAAGGTGTAGAGCATGTGATGGAGAACTTAAATGTGGACTCAAAATCAGCACCAACAAATTTCAAGTATAAGATTGCATTGCAGAAACAGGTGAAACTCCTATTCATCATTGCCATGTGGAGTGAGTAATTATTGTCAAATAAGACAGAAGTCGTTGGCGCCATGATTTATGGAGCTGAATTGATATTTAACCTTTTCCAACAAGATTTTTGTGTTTTATTAAATTTATTTGGTATTATAATTTTGAGAAAGAAAATGTTACATGATATGGATTTCTTTCTTAATTGGAGGTACTGTATTTAGAGTTTGAGTGTGGCTTATATGGCATTCTTTTATTTATTTTTCAGGTAGGTCTTGAGTCATAGAATTGTGAATATGCCATTTCAGCCCCTTACCGATGTTATGGCTTACGCTGAATTCATTTATTTCCATGGACAGCTAACCTTGACAATGTTACACGTTCTGAGCTTAACCTCAAGCACAAAGCATGATCCCTTGAAAGCTTTTCTTGTGAAGGTAAGCTTTTGAAGTACTCGTCATGAGGAAAAAAACAATAATGGAGTTTGTATTATGAATGAAAAGGAAAAACAAAGGAAAGGGTACGATGGCAAAATTCTCAATGAATAATTCAATAAGTAATAATGTTTAACCATCCAAATTACTCATTATAGGATCAGACATCGTTTCCCACCTAAATATTTATTGGAATTTCGAAGTTAATATCGGTGGAAAGTTCATCTCTCTTGACAAAAATGTCGTGATTGTATATATGCATGAATTGGAATCAATTTAAAATGTTGTGTTTGCATGCATTTGTAATGTCAGTTTATATGGATAGCATGAATCTCCAAATAATTTTTACAGTTGAATGGTCGGCAAAAAAAAAAAAAAAAGGTTGAATGAAACTTCTTCATGGGTTGATTTTGTTTTATTTGATTAATGTAAAGAAAGCATCATTCCTCGAAGATTGGTTCGTGGCTTTATGCTCGTCCGTGGAAGAGAAATGCCAGCTTGATGCTGAAGATAAGTCCATTGAAGATAGGAAGAAAGTAATGATTTCCAGAGCCATACAATCACTTATAGAAGTGTACAAGGAAAAAGAGCAACATGCAATCGCTCAAAGGTTTGAGGAATTGAAAAGTAAAGTATGTGCCGGATGATAAATATTCATCTTTCAGTTTGATGTATATCATTTTAGGATGGAGGTGAAAGGTTGCGGGTAACCTAGAAGCAAGTCACGGACGGTGGAGCACATAGATAAGCTCTTTGCAGCGACCATACGAGCAGCTGATGACTGGACAGGCGAGGATGTGATGACGGTAAGGAAGACTCTTATTGGGCATTGTGTCCCTGATATTCGCCATTTGAGGTATTTGTATGATTTGACCTCGCAATAGAATGGGAAAGGAATTAAATGAAATGTCTTGTATAGAGCTTCCTTTTTGTCTTTTTTGCCCCCTTTGTAATGACTCTTACCGTTTTTTCCCCCTTCTCAATTTCTAAGCATGTATAGCCTTTGTTAACTTAGATAAGCTTAAGGTAACTTTGGGCTGTAATTATAGTATCATAGTGGTTCCTTACATATAAGGGTTGGCCGCCATTTCTAATTTGCAAATAAACATGCCAAGTGTCATATTTATATTATGTTGACTTTAGATTTTGAAAACTAATTACTACCTCCGGTCCTAAATATAAGAGCTGTTTGACTAATTTAAGTAGATTAAGAAAATAAATTAAATTAGTTATTTGTAATAAATAGTTATTGTCTTTCTTAAAATATCTTGCTAATTAAGTTTATTAACTAGAACTATTATTATTAGGGCTATTTTAGAAAAAATAAATAAATATAAGAGACAAAGTGGATTAGGGTTTTATATTTAGGATCAAAATAAAAATCATACGAAGTCTTATATTAAAGACCAAAAGTAGTAGTTGTTAGTGAACAACTCTTGCATGAATGTGTACAAGAGGCTCAAAATAAAAACAAGAAAAGAAAAATCAAATGTGCAGTCCATGGAATCACTTCACCTAACAAAGACAGACCATTAGGCCAACGCAGGCTCATTTATGCTTGAACACACTAACACAACCACTAATTAAAAACTCCAGAACAAGTAAAAGGCAGGCTTATGTTGCCACTGGAATATCGTTTTGCTTCAGGAACTTGTTGCCCTTGTTTTGAGATGGATGATAGCCAATCTCCGTGAAAATGTGCGTGTGTGGTTTAACTAACTTGAAGCTGCTTCAAAAATGTTGGACAGAATCTGTTAACTTTTATAGCTAAATGAATAATTTGTGAATATTAAGAAAAATAGTCAAGTTTGTTATTTATAACAACTGTGTTTTGATTTTTCTCAACTACTAACTTGAATCATCTGCATTAGAATTATCTTTTGATTGGGAGCCTCTTAATATGTTTGAGCAAAAATAATACTCCTTTGGTCCTTAATATAAGATCCATTTAACTAATTTGATTAGATTAAAGAAGTTAGGTAAGTTAGTTAATTATAAGAAATATGACACGTCTTTTTCTAAAATATTATAATTATCTTTCTTAATACCTCCTTTCTCTTTTTCTACTTGATTATGGTTTAGAAAGTATCCATATGGGTAATTTAGAGAAAATTGATAAATATGATAAATGGGTCTTATATTTAAAACCAAAACCAACTCAACAATTAGGTCATATATTAAGAACCGGAGGAGTAATAAATTTGAGAGGTAGAAGTTTTACATTTAGGATGAAAGTAAATTTTTTGTTTAATTTTTATATTTAAGCCCGATCATCCATTGATTTTGAAGCACTTCACTGAATTTGAGACCGCCTAACCCAATTATGTTGGTGGAATAGCAAGTAAAGCATTGTTTTCAATATACGTTATATACGCATGTAGACGATATAAAATTTTTAAGTTGTACTGTTCACAAGTAATGAATAATACCATTTATTTTAAATTTTTGTCCCACTTGAAATGACTCATTTGTAGGTTATATTAAAACCCAAAATGTAACTAATGGCCCAAAGATAACCTTTTTATGTGGCCTGGACAAAGATAACCTATTTATACTTAGGCCTGTCATGAGAGTGCATTACACACACACACACACACACACACTTTATTTTATACAATTAAAAACTTATGCATACGAACATATCGATATTGGGTTTGAGTCTGGAACCCATCTAAGTGTGGCAAATAACACTGTCATGAGACAGCTTACTTGGTGGTGGGACCCTTTCAATTACTAAATAAAAACATTTTGATAAAAAAGTTAAAAAAAGAAGGAAAATAAAGAGGTTAGATTACATGGAATCATACATATGATATGATGAAGCAGTTTGTGGTCTAAAGAATCCAAGAAGTTAAGAGGGGAAAAAGAAAGCAACAACGCAAAGATCGTACGGATATGAATAATGATTGAGAGGGTCCTGTCCTGCATCCATATTTATTCAATCAAAGGCATGTTCTTGTGCTTCCCTAGCTGGCTGGTATATATGCACCAAACATGCCCTCTCTCCCTCCCTCTCTCTCTCTCTCTCTCTCTACTTATTTTTTTCCTTTTCAATTTTGACAGCTTGATGTGCCAATATATATTATAATATCTTCATAAAACTTTGTGCCCCCTCCGGCTTTGTTCTATTTGATCTGTCATTTCCTTTTCTACTTATTTCAAATTTTATAACTATTTTCAATTAAAAAGAGGTAAGAAGAATATTCAATTAATTATGCACTGCCAATTATAATAACCGACTCCGACAATGATGCGTGATATGCACAACCATATATTCTTGGTCAAAAGGCTGGGGAAATATAACAAAAATAGTTTTTTTTTAAGAACGAGAATATAGAAATTATTAATTAATGAGGCGAGTAAATTAAGGTATATTGCCATGATGAACGAGGGGGAAAAAACAAAGAAATATAGAAGAGGCAATACTACCGAATCACTAAGGAAGAAAAAGAAAAGAATAAAGGAAATCTAGAACTAGAACCGTATTTCATTTTCTAAAAAAATCCAAATATTTTAAATGATATAGGACCAAAAGTATTATCATATATATCTAGTAAAAATAACAAAAAGGGAGGGAAAAAAAAACTGTGGTGCCGTTGGGAACCAGCTGATCTAGGAATCTGAATGGTAGGCTACACAATATATATAGAGACACACAAAAGTTGAATTAGTGTTTTAACAATAGAGGATGATGATGATCTCTCAAGGCTAGTGGGCTATCACCATCAACAAATTAGGAGGATACACACGTATATATATATATGTATAGATGATGATGATGAAGCAAAGAAGATATAGAGCTTCCTAAAATCCTATTGTTGGAGGCTACATGTGAATGCATTTCCATGCTTACGTGATAATGAGATATATACATATCTCGTCCTCATTTCTCTCTCACTACACGTTTTCTTTCAAGGTTTACGTATGAACGCACACGAATAGTGATTAGGTCAAGCAGAAGAGATCAGATGTATATCTTATGAATAGAATTTCTAATTTAATCTTCATAAATGATAAATATCACATTTGTCTCTCCTTTTATGTATCTTGATAATACTCAAATCTAAATTAGTCAGTAATACCAGATATCAGGTATCTATCATAACCAATATATATAAAATTATGCGCGCATGCTTAGAAGCACAAGGAGGGGCAATAGGAGGAGCATAATGGGAGATAAATTTATAGAGATATTTCAAGGCACGCAATGATTCCAATGATCATGTGCCTCTCCACTTACAACTACAACACCAAACTCTACACACACACACTATCTCTCTAATTACTCCTCCGGTCCTAATTATAAGACCCAATTGACTTATTTGAGGAAATTAAGGAAGTAAGTTAAGTTGGTTATTTATAATAAATAAGTGTTGTCATTCCTAAAATATCCTTGCTAATTAAGTATATTGGCTAAAACTATCATTATTAGAAGGATTATCTTGGAAAAAAATGCATAAATATAAGAGACAAAATGGATTGGGTCTTATAATTAGGACCAAATAAAAAGTCAAATTGGGTCTTATAATAAGGACCGGAGGAGTATATTCATTCCTTCATAATTCATTCGATAATTTAAAAAAAAATCCCTTTTTTTCTCTCTTCAAATCCTTCTCTCTTTCTCTCTCACACACAAAATCAATATGCCTATAAATGACCCATCAACCATATATATGCCTAGATCCGAGTATATTATATATCATTTCAGCAATCATAACTATGAATCATTCTCTCTTTCCCTTAATTCAATTTCTATGTGCCTGGTGGGGGACTGCACATTAAAATCTCTCCCTAGCTCCCACCCATAGGAAAATCAGAACCAAACAAAACAAATAATTAAAAAAAACCATATATATATAGCTATATATAGGTAGACAGAAGCATAGATGTTTTGTGTAGGTTTTGGTGTCTGAAAATGGAGGCCTGGTATGCGGGATTTGCTCCTCAAATTTCATTGTTAATTTTCCACGTCATTCCAACTTTGAAGCATATATAGTGTTAGTGGATTATTATTTCACAAGTACCTGTACCACAATGGTATGTTTTTTTTTTGGGAATCTATGTGTTTATATATATATATAGAGTACGCGCCACCTCAACTTGGACTAATTAATATATATACGTTATTAATTAATTAAGTACACTTATGATATTATGAGGTGGGAGGCGATAGTTCTTTTTAAAGGACCAGTCTGTGATTATATGGGAAAAGCATCTCTTCACCACTTTGATTGAAATAAAGAAAGAAAATAATGTAAAGATTCCGTTTAAAACTAGAGTCAGTTGTATTGTACGTAACTCAATCAAAATATACCACTAGGAGACCACAAATCACTTGTAATATTTGCATGTGCGAGGGCTTATAAAAAGTCTCTATTTTAAAATTTTATTAATCAGAATTAGAAAGAGTTGGATTAAAATACCGCCGATATTTTCTACATATATATTAAAAAAATGTAAGTTCTTTTTTTCCCAATAAAATTTCTAAACAGAAAATTTTTTATCGGTCTATCGAGAGAAGTTTTCAATATTGTCCTTTTGATATCCTTGAAGGCCACATTCTTTTCTCTTTTATTGTCATCTGTACTTTTAGCAACAAATCACCTTTCACAACACACACACACGAACACACACGCACGCACGAATGCTATGATATAAATAAAGCAAAATAATAATAATTAGGTTAAAATATATTTTTGGTCTTTTAATTTTACATAAGGTTTTATTTTGATTCTTTAATTTTAAAAAGTAAACTTTTAATCCTCCAATTCTAGAAGCGTCAACAAAAAAAAGATAATATTGAGCTATTGAATATTAATAAAATATTATTAAATGTTATCATATTAAGTTTAATTTTCAAAATAATCATGATTATTACAAAAAATTATCATTTAAGACTAACAATTTTAGAGTTAAAGGACTAAATTGTATACTTTTTAAAGTTAAAAGACTAAACTAAAATCTTACATAAAATTAAGAGACCAAATGTATACTTTAGCCTAATAATTAATACGAATAACCCTTGTTTCCATTAATGGTTTGATGATCAAGCTCAATAATGAATGAGTTCAAAATATGCATTGCACCTGGGAGTGAAGATCTCTGCCGTAAAATAATTAATAATCATCAGT